TTCCTTGATGGCTGTGGTCTCTTTCAGCACGATAATGCACTTTGCCACAAAGGAAAAGTGGTTCAGGTTGAGGATTGGTTTGAGGATAACAACAATGAGTTTGAGGTGTTGCCAGTGAGGCTTCACCTGGCAACCTATAGGATTAAAGGATCTGTTGCTAACATCTTGGTACATACCACATACCACAGCATGGGTCAGGGGTCTAGTAGAGTCCATGTCTTGATGGGTCAGGTCTGTTTTGAAAGCAAAAGGGGAATCAATACAATATTAGGCTGCTGGTCATAATTTTATTGCTGACTGGTGTAATCCTGCAGCCTGAGAGAGAAGTGCTCTATTAGCTTAATATGGTACTATGATGTCTTTAAGACATGATGTGGCCTGATTTTTAAGATGGATTTCAAAACATATGATCTCTCTTTCTTGTCCCCGTTAGTAGCCTCATTGCAGCCTTTTAGATTAAATGGGTGGCCTTTTCAGGAACTTTTAGAACAACCTGACAATAATGAATTTCAATCATCCAGGTGAGAAGTAATGAATGTGTGAAGTGGTTTTTCAGCATCACTCGGAGGCAGGGGAGGAAAAAAAGTAGCCCTACATATTTATTTAGTGTAGGCACTGAAATCTTGATCAACTCTGTTAGTGCTGTTTTATTTATAATAACACCAGACAGTGATGAGGGTGAAATGGGTAAAAGCCAAATTTTCTATACCATGGTATAAGAATATAGCATAATTTAACAGTGCTAGTTAAATGTTTTGTATTTAAATGCTAAGATGCTATTTAAACTGGGAAAAATACTTCATTTCATTCAACCAGTTGGAATCACCATTAGTAACATTGTATAGAGAGATTAAAAATTTGAGGTAGATTTTTTTGAACACAGCAAAAACAAAAACAATTTTTTGCAAAAAATATATGGACCTGTATATTTTGGCAGTTTATTTAATAATGTCTTTATTGGCAGAAGAAGGCGTTAGACATTGAATATTGTGACCTTTCTCCATTAGACATACTATACTTCTCCCGTTACTGTTATGTGCATTACATTTCATTATTTTTATTGACTCCATACAAGTATATCAACATTCAGATCTGCTTAAGTGTCACCAATGACGACAACATACTGTAGGTAATGACATCCCGCTGAAAACACTGAAGCAAGTCAGAACTTTAACAAGAACTCAAGTGCCAAACTTGCTGCTTCACTTCTCTTTTTAATATAAACACAGTAAAGAAGCATTTGCATTTATATAGTTCTTCCAAACCATCTGATGTTGCTGCCAGGCAGTATCCAGAAACAGCTGAGCATCAAACTGATTGTTACCTGGGGAATATTAAGATAAGAGAGTAATCCTATGGACAAAACATGGTTTTGTTGGAGTTTCAGCAGTGGAGCCAACCAGGTAGGAAAAATTAACAAACCCCTGCCTGTTGCCAGTAATGAAAATGCCTAGCCTCTGTGAAGTCTTATGTTTTAATGTGATAAGAATGGTATCTCACTCATCCCCCAACTGGAACAGAGCATATCTTGATCTTTTGAGACTGGTGCTTATTTTGCATATATGGGACAGGTAATAACTGGATGATACAACTCAGAATACGAATTTAAAAATTCATTCAAATCTAGTTGATATGCAGTACACTGAATTCACTGGAAGCTGCAATATATCAGGATTTCACTAATATCCTCACAAGGATGTTGACAGTACCAGAATTCATGATTCTGTGGCATTGCACATATTTGAATGTCCTTGTTCATTCCCATCTTACACCAGTTGTTTCCTAAAATATTTCATAGTGGCTATGCAATAGCTTTGTTTCACTACATTTGCAGAGGAGAGGGTGATGCCTCATATGATAGGTGTAGTTTTGCATGCAAGCTGGCAGGAGTACCATAGGTGACAGTGATAGAATAGTGATCCGAGCCATCTGATTTAATGGCTGGGTGGCTTTAATGGTAATCTGGCCTCTCCCTCCTGCTTCTCCCCTTAGGAGTTCTATTGGATGACAGGAAACAAACAGTGCTCTGACACTTCCCGCTCATTAGCATCATTAGCATACGGTCATTATGTAGCTGGACAGTAGCATGACAGGGCTCTCAGAAAGGCTACAGTGGTGACCTTTAGTGGACAACACCAGCTGTCAGTAATTACCTAAAGCATTCTCCAGAGGGATGGAGACAAAGACTGACTCCTTGTTCATGAGGACCTGTGGTGCCTAGGAATCTCTTTTTATCTTCCATTTGCCTGGAAGTGAATATATTTTTAGACAGCGAAAAAAATGTACTCACATCCTAGAGACAAGTATGCAGCTGTTTCCTAACCTAAAAATTAGGAAGCCTAAAGTTGTGTAGGCTTTAGGTGGAGTTTTAACTAAAATGTGCTACTAAATGTGGAGCTACGTCTGCGTTTGTGCTGCCAGAGGCTTGTTTGTGCACACTGTTGACAAGTATACTACACCCAGTGGAAAATAATGACTTAAACACCATTGCTCCACAAATTCCAAATTTAACATTTCATGTGGAAATGACTTTATTCTTTGTATTCTCTGTCTAAGTGCCTCATAATCATATGTAATTGTTTGTTGTAGATTACTTTAGCTTCTAACAGGCTTTGATGATACAATGTTGATTCTACAGCTTCATGTTCCCTTTCATCTGTGTGTGCAACCTCTGTATGAATAACAACTTTGAGCCTTGGTGTTGTGAAAAGATAATTTGAAACATCAAAAAATTTGTTTGGAAAATTATGGGCATGGAGGTGAAACAGCTAGTGGGTGCTGTAATATCTGAATGCATTAATTCAACTCTTCCAAAAATAATCGCAGACAAGTATGCATGAACACAGACACAGGTGTTTGCAGGTACTCACACACACATGCTTTTAAGTCTCCCACACTGATGAATTGCTGTGCTCACAACCTTAACTACATTAACGCTGGTGCAGTCTGGTGCACTGTCAAATCACAGCAAGAAAGTTCTGGGCTCAAATCCAGCTGGGGCCTTTCGTTGTGGAATTTGCATGTTCCCCCTGTGCCTCCGTGGGCTTCCCTCCACATTCCCTGGCTTCTCAGCACAATCCAATGACGTACACGCTCTAAACTGGCTATAGGTATGAATGTTTAGTTTTTTTGTCTGAGTTAGCCCTTCAAACACTCTATGGCACCTGGCACCCCCAGCACCCTGTTACACCAAATTGGATAGAAGCTCAGGCATTAACAGTTGGGAACACAGTTAAGGTTTCCCATCCATTTTCTTAACTGCTTCAGCATCAGCCACACAGACTGGTTGATAACATCTGGTTGCTAGAGAAAAGTGTGTATTCCCCATCTGGTTGGTGAGTGGTTACTGGCAGTCACAAAAAGGCTACTTCATTAAAAGCCTGCTTGTGATTTCTTTGATTGCTAGCAAATTCAAATGGTTTCCCATAGTTTTCACAAAAGATAACTGGCATGTCTACAAACACTCACTACCTACTTACTAAGTGGTACTCAAACTTGAAAAAGTGCAATGTAAACCAGCCTCAGATGTCTATAGGCTTTTGTGACTAGGACCCAAGTGATTAAGAAAATGGTAGGATAACCTTAAATATGTTCCTAACTTTTTCATAACAAGGTCCTTAAAAAAATCAAACAAGCTACTATACCCCCAGTGTTACTGGAATTAGAAATAACTCCAGTGTAGAGGTAGTAATTCAGTAGTTAGTTCTAAAAATGTAACAAAACATGGAGCGCAACTTAGGCTTTATTACATCCACGAAATAGTGGCAATAAAATACAATGTTGACTCATCAAAGTGGAATTTTCTTTACATTTCCTCTCAACGTATTACCCTAGGCATCAACATAGAAAAAAAGTCATATTGTGAGAAATGAAGAAGCTGAAACAAGATTGCAAGACTGCAAAAACCAGATACTATGTGTGTGAAGAGCTACAATGAAATTGCTCCACTGCTCTTTCTGTGCGACACATCGTATAATATCATTAAAGTGCAATTTAGACATTAAATTGCAGTTGCCTTCTCCCACTTTTGGAGCCCCCAGTATTATTTCAATCAATCAATCAATCAATCAATCAATCAATCAATCAATCAAGGCTGTATTCGCCACGTGCAGGTTGCCCTGCAGTGAAATGGGACCCCCCCCGACCTTACACACACAACACAGACAACACATGGGGATACAGGTCGGAGATCAGTAGCGTTACAGAAAAAACACTGAAATATACACTACAATGGGAAAGTACAAGAGGAAAAAAAAGAGACCTCTACTCATGCTGGGCTCCTGGAAAAAAAAAATCATTAAACCCCCAGATTAAAACCAAACAAACAGCTCTGATTACAATATCATCAATATTGTTGTGGTGGTTGCAGTTGTGTGTCCTAAGCTCCACATGACTATTTCATCAATTAGCATGTATATTGGTAGCTCAAATGCAAATAGAAAAAAGCCCTTGAAGGTGTGTAGTTTTCAGAAGAGTTTGCCAGCAGGCACACTCAGGGTATACATTAATCAAAAGACACCCAAACACACATAAACTAAGCCTACTTACATTGTTATTTTTAATTTTAGAAAATATTTATGTGTTACATTTTGTGGTACTGTTGGCATATTTGAGACCTGAAGACAAAGACGATTATAAGAATACTGACATACCTCTGAATGTATATTCCTAATGATAAATAAAAAATATATTTATTATTCCTCATTCCTTAATGAATGTTTGGTGTTGTCTTTTGAGAGCATAGATTGCTGTCAGATTGCTTTGTCTGTCAGTTCTAAATTTTGTATTTTTTACTGTGGTTCTACAACATACTGGCCAAACCCCTTACATTAATTATCATTTCAGTCTGTTAATTTTGTCCTCACAAAGACAGAACAGGCAGCAGTTTCATAAAAAAAAACACTGACATCCTTGAATCAGGCTCAAATTTGCATTTTAGGATTGTAGTATAACCTTAAAAGTTTGATTTCTTTCCTTTAACTGCTTTTTCTTTTCAAAAGGAACGTCTGTCATGAAGGTTACTGCATCTGATGCTGATGACCCAACATATGGCAGCAGTGCCAGAGTGGTGTACAGTGTACTGGATGGAGAAAAGTTTTTCACTGTTGATAAAAACAAAGGTAAGAGGACACATACAACACTCAATTAACCTTATTTTTTCCCTTTCTTTCTTTCTTTCTTTCTTTATATATATATATATATATATATACATACATACAAGTGCGTGTGTGTATAGGATATAGATTTAAGTAAAAGGAGGATCTTACTGGTGTAGAGCCTATAGAAACAGTATGGCCTACCCCACAATCTTTCAGGACTGCAGGAAAAAGCCTGTTGGGAGGGATTTCCTCTCCAGGGAAAAGCACTAAGGTTTTAATGATTCCTTTTTGGTCTCCACCAATTTGATTCGGTCAGCCCAAGCACCTGGATGATAAATGGCTCTGCCTTGGTGGGACTAGTCAGGAGACTAGGTGGTTCATTCCAGCTTCTGCCTCATGACCTCTATTCCACCTACCTCTCTCCCTATCTTGTAGACAAACAGGCTAACCTAATAGGTGTGAGTCAAGAAGGTCAAAATAAAGCGGAGACAAAACAGCTGTGAAATCTACCTCATTAATATCACTCTCACTCACCTTGACAACAAACTCAATAACAAGTCACTGTTTTTTTTCTGTTGCTTTGGCAAAGCTGAAATTGCCTGAAGATGTTTTTTGATTATCCAAGTACTGTCCTTTTAGCTGTTTTAAAATATTTAAACCATACTATTTAATCTCCCCTTTACAAGCACAGTGGATCATTATATTATAAAAAATAAATATCTAGATTTTCTCACCCATTAAGAATTCTTTATATGCTATTAAATTTTACCAAGAAGCATCAATAACAACAGTAAACTTGCGATGGTATACATCAGCCAAAACTGCAATATAAATCCCAATAAGTTATGAAAATGATGAAATAAGATTTTCTGCTAACTAAATTGTAACAATACTGAAAAAAAACTGTTTTTACTTAATTATGCATATGGTTCATAACTATCAATTAAGCACAACATGAAGTGAAGTGTAGACTGCCATAGGGCACTGAGTATGCCTTTGTGCTTCTAGATGTCATTCAAGCTTATATCTGTACTCTCTCAAACGGGGCTTCTTTATTTTCAAGGCTCAAAATAAAAAGGAAATAAAAGCAACACAGGTGCTGTCTATGAATGCAACTGCCAAAAGTGAATAAGTAGAGTGCAATGGCACCTGTGGTAAAAATGTGAAAACAGCACTATGTGTGCATCACCAGTTTTTAAAGCCACAAAGTAGCAGAAGGAATGAAGAGGTGACAGGTATAAGTCATCTTTTTTTAGAATCCATGAAGTGGGGAGACTTGATTATATTATTTATTTATTTATTTATTATGTTAATGCAATGAATCACTGAAGCTCCATTTCACAGTTGGTGTACACATTCCGGTCATCCAGTTACAGTGTTTAATCTTAAGGGGGGGTGATACGCTCTGGAGTATGAAGTGCATAGAGTTTTTTTTTTTACTTCTTTGATAAATAAAGACCATGTAGATTCATCTGCATATATAGTTTCTATACCATGAAGTTGGAGCACCACTGCTGTATACTTGTTAGAGATTGTGGCTTTACTTTCGACAGCCCTAATTTAGATGCATCCCCTCTGGCTTTGTTGGATAAAAGAGGAGCATGTCATCTGTCTCCAGCCCTAACTCTATTGCTGCATGTACTGTATTCTGGTTACTCATAGAACAGGTCCCAAGGCTAAATGTGACTGGAATCTGTGAGTTGTATACCCAACACAATGCAACCCTTTGGGAGTGAGACAGCACACCAAGACCGAGAAGTATATCTATAGATTCTGATGCGAAAAATCCCAAGGGGTAACGTGAAATTATATTACTGCTGCAGAGTAAAGCAGAGAGCTACTGATATAGCTAATGCTGGGCCAATAAGGAGAGTGTCTCTTTTTAAACAGACCATGTGTTTGTTACATATATATCTATATATATATATATATTATATATACTATATTATATATAATTTATTATATATATATATATATATATATATATATATATATATATATATATATATATATATATATATATATATATAGATACATATGATATATATAGATATATATATATATATATATAGATATATTACAGTGCTATTAAATTCACACAGTCACTATTAACTGTTGTCTAAAATAGCCATTTAATAAACACTGGTTAGGATTTTTTTGTGATGAATTATAAACAAATATTTGTCACTTCTTTGTTGTTTTTCTTCTGGTGTAAGCCAGAATTTGCGATTTTAACTTATGTAATACTTCTGCTGTTACTGCTACAAAACATGGTTTCCCAAGCAGTGGAAACTGTGCAGTTCAGGAAAGCTGTGTCATGCCTTCATTGTCCCTCCATATATTATTCATCTTAATACAGCTAAGCCATAAAATGGTGTATATGAAGAGTCACCAGTACAACATGGTCTCTCCCATCCATTCTGTTGGTAGAAGAGAAATGGAACGCATTGTACTTTTGCCTCCATAATGCAGTACTTATCACAAGTTGATCCTCAGACTGAGAGGAAATATAATTGGTTTAATGCACAAGAGCTAACCACTAATGCAACGCTTCCAGTGGTGTCACTTGCTAACTACTCTTCCTCTTTCTGCCACTCTCCCTTAAACTCACTTCTATCTCTCAATCATTAGGAATCATCATGACAGCAGTGGCAGATTTGGATCGTGAGACACAGGATCGTTACGAGTTGGTCGTCAAGGCAACAGACATGGCAGGACAAATGGGTGGTCTTTCTGGCTCCACCACAGTGACCATAGTGATCACGGACGTTAATGACAACCCACCACGCTTTCCACAGAGTGAGTGTATCCTGTGCATTCTCCCACTTTAGAAAAAAAAAGATAATGAGACAGAGATAGAGAGAAGCTAATGACTGGCAATGTGGGTGAAGAAAATGAAAGCCAAGGCACAAATTACAACAACATACAAGAAAATTGTATACAACCTAAAAGCCACTAAAAATATGCAGTAGAATAGACGGCCTGCATCCTGCCATACATTAAAAATAGCTCTATATATTGATAGACTGTACATTGTAATGTTATGGACGGGTTCTTTTTCAGCTGAATGTCTTTGATGCTCAATTTACTCAACAAAATATATTTAAAAAGTAAAGTTTAATGTGGCTAAAAATATTTTCTCTCTCTTAAACACAAAAACACACTTAATTCAGTTGAGTAATAGTCTTCTTTAGAGCAAACCAAAATGTCCATACAGCATACATTGGTCTTTAAAATAAATGTACCAATGTGCAAATAATTGGTATATTGTAACAGTCCTAACTGACGTATGATTGCATGTCTGAGTAAAGTAGTGCATTCCCTTCTTGTCTTTTTTTTTTTTTTAGCTCTTTCTTCATTCTGCTTCTTTGGAGTTAAACTAATGCTGTAACCCACAACAGTATTACTTTTGTAAAAGCTACAGATGCAGTATCTGACAGTCTGTTTGATTGTATTTGATATGTCTCCACACACCTTTTTCTTATTCCTCTTTTTTTTCATCTCAGTAAATCATATTTACCCAGTCAGAGGGATAAACCCTGTAGGATTAAAGTTCCTCGACTCTACAATATAGTGAAGAAATAGAATCTGAATGCAGCTTCATAAATAAGGAGGATGAGATATGATGTGTATATGAGATATATGACACATATATTTTGGCGAATAACTTTTTCGTTTATTTTTTGTTTATTTTATTCTTGCAGTATTTTACAATAATCTGTGATAGATCTCATTCATTTTGGTCTAGTCTTTAGAGTCACAGCTGACAATGTGAGTATGGCGACAAGTTTTTATTCTTAGTTAAAGATGGTTTAAATTGCAGATTATATGATATTGGTCAAATGATATGATGTAACACTAGGGTTAATTCTAATAGGTAGAGGGCTAGGGCTAGTGGAACTGTTAATATAGCGCTATGCTTTCATAGCAAATGTGAGAATAATAATGTTAATGTATGTGAATGCTCACTAATAACTGCATGAAGTCTACCTTTTTCAGTCCTTTCCTATATAACTTTTCATTGGCACTCTAACCCCTGTTAGCCATTTCTTCCCTTCTTTAACAGTGCTTTACTTTATCTTTAATGATATCTCATCTACTTCCTCTTCCCACTTTTCTCTGTCTATTTCCTATCCATCTCTTCAGCGATTTTCTTCCCTCAGCCCTTTTCTACCTATGGCTGTCCATCTATCTTTCCCTATCTTTCCTCCACTAGTGTTTTTCTCATTTCTGTGTTACTTTTGGATCTCATCTTTCTTTTGTGTTGTTTTGTACACCAAAAATCTGGATCTTGGTTTAAATGCCTCTATATTTTCTACCCTTGGGCCACATACTTTATTTACCAGAAATGTACCAGTTTTCCGTGTCAGAGGGGGCTGCTGTCGGGACACCAGTTGGACGCGTCATTGCCACAGATGCAGACATGGGAGAGAACACAGACATGAGCTATCTGATCACAGATGGAGGGGAGCTCTTCAAAGTCACGACAGATATGGAGACACAGGAAGCTGTTGTCTCCATCAAGAAGGTAGATTTAAATGCTAAGAATACATTTCTTGTGATACAATTGTTCATACAAACAGACTTTTAAATACAGTCCTATTAAAAAATTAAAGAAAATGCTTTTATGTCAAGGAAAAAGTGAGTATATTTCCCACATTTGCTACATTTATTTTTTCCTTTGAAATAAATAATAAAAGTGTTTCTCATAAATGAAAGAATCCTTTTGTAACATGTGCATAATGGTAAACTCAACAAGAAGACATCCAGCTAGCAACAATACATTGGTTCGCTGGAATCTCAATAACATGATAATGTAATATGTTAATATGAAGTGACAATATAACTTAACAGTTAGCCTGTGCTATGGCTATATTACTGCTCTGGAATTCACTAAGCCTTTTCAAAGATATATTCTCAAACAGCACTGGATCTGTGCACATCAACAGTCTGTACAAACCTGTACTTTTGTAATCTTTCTTTGTATTTCTCCTTTTTATGCTAGCCGCTGGACTTTGAGAACAAACGCACACACAATGTTGTTGTGGAGGCGGTTAATAAGCATGTGGACCCTCGTTTTGTGGACCTGGGCTCTTTCCGTGACCAGACCATTGTCCTGGTGAGCGTGTCGGACACAGATGAGCCACCCATCTTTTACCCAGCCGATGGCACTATCATGGAAGTCCAGGAGGACGCCAAAGTAGGAGCCCTAGTTGGAATTGTTACTGCAAGGGATCCAGATGTGAAGAATAAACCTGTCAGGTATGGCAAGATCAATAAAGGTAGTGCTATATTATTGTAGACCTAAAACACACTTAATCACAGCATTCTGCATCAACCGTTTTTACCACTGAAGACACTTTTGAAGTTGAAAAATTTCTTCAAAGAAAAAATGACTTTTAAAGAACTTTAGTTCACTAGGTGATACACATGTAGCTGGTGGGCTTAAAGACAATTTCCTTAACAATTTCTCTTGAAGATGAAAATCCAAACAGCATTGTTACGTTAACAATTGATGACAGTGTACAGAACATTTTTCTCTCAGATCAACATGTGTGATAAAACAATATAATCTAGTAATCTTGTGTTTGAAGGTCTTTGGTTTATATATCCTCGGAGGAGCAATTGCAATGTGAGAAGGGAATGTAGATAAGGTCTAAGATAGTCTCACTGGCAGAGTATACGGCGACACACACAGGGCCTGTGCAAATTACCTTGATTAAAAATGCATGAGGCTCAGAGTTCTAGGTGTAATAAAGTAAAACACAATGGCAGCGCTGTCATTCACCAATGTCTTGGCAGCCGGCAGTCAGAATTATATGTGTGTCTATGAACATAAAAGTAGGCTTTGTGTTTATGCATGTGTCTTCACTAAGCGAGTAAGTTATTGAGACAAAGGGAGATGGGAGATGTTAGCGAGGAATTACCTGCTGAATAGAGTTACCAAGCTCATGATCTCTGATAGCATATTCTCTATCAACTATATATTGATAGTTATCTATCAACTGTATAATTATACACAGGAAATGATCAAATGCACGCTCTGTGGAACTGATTGGCAAGAAAGCTTTTATAGAACAGACATTTATGTTGACTTGGTGAAAACAAGTGGCAGCTGGCAGTGGACAGCAGATATGTTCATGTGCTTATGTATAATTTAAAAGGAATTTATAGTACTTTATGCTTTCACTGCACTATATGCATACATATATTCTACAACATATCTGTATAAAAACCATATCCATAAAATTCACACTGTAGTTTAGGGCTGTGCGATATGACCAAAATCTCATATCCCGATATAAGAATTCTATCCTCCCGATTACGATATAAATCACAAAAATGAGTCTAAGGTTTATTTTTTTAGCACCTGGCGGCTCTTTTTTACTTCTCATCCGTAAATAATCTGCTCTTTCATGTGATTCATTTTATTTTGAAAAGTCTCAACAGGATCTTGAGCTTTATTGTGAAAGGTTTACATGGAACATATACAAGTGGACACGCGATGGTGTTACCGTCGTTGTTGCTAACCACAACGCATAAAAACAGGTGCTTGGCGTCCATAGTGTGGTTATATTAAATATAAGAGAAAGAGAGAACTTTAAGAAATTAATATAGCCACTACAGTGACCATCAAAACGATGATAAAATATTGCCGTAAACAGTTTATTTTGCGCCACCATGAAATGATAAAATGAAACGATAGACGTTTTTATATCGTCATCCGATATATATCGTTATATCGAACAGCCCTACTGTGGTTTTGTGTGAAACTACTTAGAAGTGTGAAAAGCACCTAAATTTTGTGACACAGTGACAAATTACAACATTAAGTAATAACGGCCAATACTATTCAAAACTGTGTGGGAAGCAGGAGTGATTGGATTGTTGTAAATTGCAGTTGCATTGTGTTCCAAACAAAGGAGGTTTGATTGTCATGGTGGGAGAGACTGCACTGGGAGACTCTCCGTTGTAAATCTAATACAGCCAAATATGTGCCCTAAATGGGATGTTACACTAAGATTTAACAGAGCTATGCACATGATGACACCTATATATACAGAACCTATATTGTAGGTATTATGTTTATTTGTGTAATAGTATATCATGTTAGCACAGTATTTTAAAAACTTAGCTTTTTATACAGTAAAAATATGTTAATGCTCTAAGACTGAATGATCACAATTAGTTTTTTTAATGACATTACATGGCATGAGTGAAATATAAACAGAACATGCTAATATTTATCATTGTTTGTTTGTTTGTTTGTTTTTCTAAAACATGTAAAATCAAAACCTGCTATGAATTTCTATGCTTTCTGTAACATGTAACCATGTTACTAGGTATTGCTGGCTGGTTTCCTTGACAAATAGGCTATCATGAGGTGGTTTATGTAGACTTGATTAAGAATGGTGTGTGTGTGCAGAAAAGAATTGAGAATAACAAAATATTTCAGCAGATTTTTGTTGACTCACCAGTCTTTTGAGAGCAGCGCATACCCCAAAGAAGGAAAGATGAATTTGTGTTTTTTTCTAGAGTGCACAATGAAAATTTAATGCATTTTTTTTTCTCTGCATAAGAAAAGAACGAGTCAGTATATAAGGAAATATAGTGAAGGGGCATAGCTCTATTAGGGTCACAGAGCTTGTGGCAAGTCTCCTGTAAATGCTTTCAAAAAATGTTTCAACGCTTGTCATAACCATGTATAACTACTGCAAAATGTTATCTACAGGTGTCTTTTTTTAGCCTTTAAGACAATCTTAAAGACACAACATAATTAAGTTACTTAAAAAATGAAATGAATAAATAAATCATTCATTGTAATTATTCATCCATTTTTGTATCGACTTTAACATTTACATCCTAATTTTATTGTTTGTTGTAATAGGTTCTCCATCGATCGGACTACAGACCAGGAGATGATCTTTCATATTGATCCTGACTCTGGTGCCATCACGCTGGGAAAGATTTTGGACAGAGAGACTGCAGGCTGGCACAATATCACTGTGAAGGCTGTAGAAGCAGGTACATTGCTAGCCATTTCAAACTCTGAGTTTAACACTCTGTACAACCTAATACTAGTGTAATATTATTTATCATCAACTATTCTAATTTGCCAACTTTTCTGACAGTTTATTAGAACACTATAGTTTCAATTGGAAACAAACTGAGTTATTTTACTGATTCATTTTGACTTGTTTATCCTAAAGTGTGACATTAGAAGACCTAATGTTTGAATATTTCAAAGTTACTTGTGAAAGCAACTGTGTGCGTTCTAATGAAGCAAAAATTCAGTTTTAGAAAAGTATCAGCTAATGGTGAAGTCAGATTACAAACGAGTTACCAAAAAACAAAGAAAGAAAAAGTTGTGTCCTTAAACTGGATTGTACTGTTTAAAGATTAAAGATGTAATTTGCCTGACATTTCAACTAAAATTAACAAAATGTACATGTGTTTGAGCAATTTACAGCCGGATTTTTAAAACAAAAAAGCAAAATGATTGGCTAGCTTTGTTTACACCCAGTGCCTGCCAATGATTGTACAAGTTAAATTGGCTTTCTAGCATTTGCTGACTCCCAGCAGGGGTTATAAGGGGTGACAGACAACCTCAAACCAATGTCATCATTACTATTTCTTTGGTATATGACTGAATGGCTTTTATGTCTTTTAATATGAGTATAACTCGAGGTTTAACCTAGAAACAGCAGTAATATGAGCAGAACTTTTATGGCATCTTTTTAAGATTTGGTTTATTTGTACAGATTTTACAATTTGCGATAGATCTCATAAGCTTTAAAGACTTTCTCTTTGAGAGTAATACTATTTTCAATCGTTTCTTTCTAGACTTCACTGTTTTGACACACACTTTCTTCTACTTTTTTACATTTGAACACAGTGACAGAGTATATCGTTTATTTTCATTGACCATAACAAGAAAAACTGTTGGTCGCAGATCAAAGGCAGCTATGCACTACTCTCGTTTTTCTTCCAGGAGAAAAATATAGTCATCGCTTTCTTGCTTGTCGATGAGTTGATGAATACATTGCTGAAAATGAATGAAGAGCTTACATTTTTTTCATCTCATTGAGTTCTTTTGTCACAGCAAAGAAAATGAAGAATGTAATAACTTGAGGAAGCTGGGGAAGTTATTACTATACCATTAGGAGCAAACTTGAAAAAGGAGGAAGCCTGGTGTTCCTCACTTTTTCAATCTTTTACAGATGAAGTGATTTGAGGGTTGCAGTGAAAGCAGGGGAGATTGCATTCTGCATCTAACTGGTATCCAGCACTACACATAGAAGCGGAAAAAAAATAATACCATAAACAAAGCTGAATTTAAAATGTCTTCATATTTGTTCCTCAATCATATTCCCCTAGACCAGTGGTTCCCAATCTTTTTTTGCTCGGCCCCCCTTTGTTTTACAAGAAAAATGTCCACCCCCCCCTTCTCGCACACATGCACGCACACATCCTCCATCCACACACACCCATATTTTGCTCCATTGCGGTTTCTTTCACACCTCAAACACTTAGTAAACAATTGAGCAAATACAAGTAATCTGCAATAAATGACAGGCAGTAATAAAATAAACTACTAACTCTTTTAGGCTACGTCCACACCTACACGGGTATTTTTGAAAACGCAGCTGTTTCGTCCACACGTAAACGGTGTTTCCTATCACCGAAGACGGAGATTTTTTAAAACTCATTTTTTTTCAGTTTACGTGTGGACGAGGAATACAGAGTTCCTCACGCAACGTCAAAGGTATGTGCCTTTTTTCACGTCACGCTGTGCGCCACGTTTACATGACATGAAATGCAGAATGGCAGATAGAGACGAATGCATATATACTGTTACTGTTAATCTTACTATCCTCAGGTTTTACATGCTTACATATACACACGCAGTTACTGTCCCTCCATTTAGAAAGGCAGAGGCATCACGGTGTAATTATTTTACTGTAGTTGTTTTTTTTTTTCACGTGTAATAATATTCAACATTGCTATCAATGCATTTTTCAAAAAATGCCTCTCTGTGCAAAACTGTGGGACACTGTTAGTCCGTGATTTGAAGAGCCCAGCGTGCTCCCGACACAGGGAAAACCAATTCTGCAGGGGAGACCTACCTTGGCACTTGTGCAGGTGAAACCAAAGGGAAGATATGCTTCACCATATTTTCTAGTCTTTGGCTTAGAATGAAGTTGGTTTGGAAACATATTCAGCTATGCTTCATCTCCTGCTTTGCGTTTCTGTGGGCGCCCCGTGCTAGCAGTGTCCAAGCGTTTTGTCCCCCCTTTTCATACTGCGCCCCCCTGCAATGGCTCTGCGCCCCCCCAGGGGGCGGCCCCACACTTTTGGAAGGTCTGCCCCAGACTGTGATTACCCCAATAATCAATACTGCCCAATCTGAATAGTAAGCAGTCTCTTCCACCACAAACATTAAGACAAAATTAGCCTTTCTGAGTCCTCCCAGAGCAATTTGGAGCCTTTTGTGGTCTGCCTCTTTGTGCTTGGCATTATCTCGTAAACACGTTTTAGTGTTAATTGAACATTTAAAGCAACCATACACCTTTCAATATCAGACATAAACACATGCCTGCACTTGAAAGATAAAGCCTCTCTCATTGCCATTGGTGGAAACATCCACACAGACAGAGTCAGTGGTCAATGCCATCAAAATTCCCATCCACTATGTTTCTTTATCACCCGTTCATGGAGTCCTGAGAGCTGTACACATACAGAAAGCAGACAGAAAGAGATAGAATAAGTAGACACAGAAAGGCCACAAGAGAGATGGAAATAGAGCGGGGGGGGAGAGAGGCATATACTTGTGAAGCTATGAGCTAAAGTATTTTAAGAAGGGACTTCATTTTCTCCATAATGATTTTGTTCGCTTTTTTATTTCGGCCCTTCTGCTCATTAAAGCTAGACAGCCACAAGGTCAGTGTGTCTGAGGACATTGTTAAAACTGGAAATTTTGTGGCACAACCCTTAATTATCCCAGTTCATTACTGACCTTTGAACTGTTGTACTGCCCGTGTATCAGTATCGGACAAGTGACAACTGCTTCCTGACAATGCTTGGTGTAAATGCCCCAGGATTAACCTCTGTTGCAAAACTGAAAAACACCTAAATGTCAATTACTCCATATGTGCCTGAGTAAAGATGTTTTAGTTTCAAATACAAACATGCACACATAGTATGTCTTTGAAATCACCCAATTAAAAGGTGCAACATCTCCTGCAGACACTATCACTGGCAAAAAAAGCCTCTCATCTATGCACTGCTTGTCTCCCCTCCAGAAAACGCAGAACCTCCCGAGTACAGGAACAACATTTAATGTACTGTCACTAGCCACAGTACTCGTACTTCCTGACAATCTTCTCCGCAGAAACGTATCAGGTTAAGTTAGAGTGACATATAATTTTCGAGAACTGATAGCAAGTATGATATCACCTTGCAAAACTGCTTTTTTCCCCAGACAGGTAGGTGGGAAAAAAGAACATCACCCTGAGGGCAAAAAGATACTGAAGTAACTGAAAGTCTTTATCTCTTGCACCGTTGCAGAGAAGAAACATTTTCTACAGCATAACTTTTCTCACTTGCTGTCTGGCAAACAAAACACACACTCTTTGATTTTTTTATGGTGTTAGAACATTATTCTCTGCAAATCCAAATGAATCACACATTTGTTGGAAGATGCTGAAGAGAGATCAGTATCTCTTTTTAGTCAAAGTTAGAAAATGCGAAGGTAAGATGAATCTAAAGAGCAAAGTATGAAAGGATTGTCAACTTTCTATGTAAAGTGTTCACACCTTTCAGCACTGACAATAAATGTAATCACATTATTACACTGCAACAGTATTCCATAAGGAAAACAACTGTAAATAGGATGCTTTAAATATTCACGAATAAGCATCTTCTGATGTTTTGGATTGTGCTAAGCTTGGTACAGCTCACCACCTCATGGAAGATGGACTTAGCTACTGTGATGTCATCCACTGGTTTCTAATGTCCTGCTTTGAAACCTTGAGAAGAACTGTTGTGCCATTGTTATCATGGTTCCAAAAAATGGGCATGATGAGGAAGCAGGTCTGACTGTGAATTCAAAAACTCATTGGCTAGTGACTTGTGATTGACGTGTCATTAGCCAATGAGCGTGGACTTTAATATAACAGGTAATCTTCTATTAAAAGATAGACAGGAGCCCATAAGCTCAACGGGAAAGTGTTTACAGATCAAGACAAAAAACTTTTTCCCACAGACTTTCCCTGTATTTTTTACCCTCTTCAGTTCTTTCGGGACAATAATGGAGAAGCATATAAAACCAGCACATCTTTGAGACTTCTTAAAATGTTCTACTTGAAAAGATCTAAAAGGTTAATAAGCATCCCCGATAAAATGTAACAAGTTTTAAGTAATTGACAATGTTCAGGACCCATTCAATTTTTTTGCTTAAAAGCGATTGTTCATAACTAGCAATTCTCAGTCACACAAAATCAAGATATACTGAAGAGATTTCTGATAGCCTGGGTTGTCAGTGTAAAATTGGAGCTATTCAACAAGAGAAAAGAAAAAAACTGTAATACTGTAAATCTTTGCAGGCAGTATGGACAGGCCTCCGGCTCAGAAATGAGACGAAAAGCACACGCTCCCGAGTACATTTGTATCCTTATTTATCTCTCCTGACAAAAGTGACATTTTAAACCAAACTGTCTCCTCCAGCATAGACAATAAACCATTTGGTCCCGAGCATTGTAACAGTCCTGACACACACCTACACACATGCAGCCATCCACATGTGTGAGGAGACAAGCAAGCACTCACATACTGTATCTGTCTTCCCTGAAGTTATGTCAGTATAATTCAGCACCTTAGAGACAGTCTTTCTGTAAGATTCTCGACAGCTGGTATGTGCAGCACAGATGCAGAGCATGCCAATAATCTGTTGAGATCCTTTTTTATTCTTCTACACTAGCTGAAGACAGATTTAGAACAGCACCACTTGGTCCACATGAATGAACCTGTCTCACTGAATACGCTTTTTTTGTTTTTTTATTTTTTATTTATTTTTTTGTCCCGATGAAGAGAGTCTGTGGTGGTAGGCGCTTTCTCACATTATTTCATCTCTTTTCAGTTCTGGGAATTGAAATGTAAAATGTGTAACATCTGGTGATTGCTGGTTTTCATTCTGGCACAGCGGGGACAACAGAATAATGTGAAGATGAAATTAGAAGAGGAAAAAGAGATATCTAGGACTGGTGGAGCTCTTTTTGCATTTATGCTCTTGCTGCTCTGGCAAAAAGCAGTCAATTAAAACCCTGCATTGATGTGAGGATTATGCTATTAGTTGAGACCAGCATTCTCATTAGCTGCTGTGCAACTGTTAGACAGAACTATGTGGTGAGAGAGAGCAGGAGAATTTATCTGCTATAGTCTGATGACCATTAGTTTGCTTTGCTGTCTTTAGTAAATCTGTCTTGTCATTTTTCTTTTACTTGGAGTGTGGCCCAATAATTGTGTTTGTAAGCTCTGGAATTTTCCATCATCTGGTTGCTCACAGACATGAAGAAAAAAACACAGCTTTAAGTTTACCCATAGTTTAACCTCAAGTGTCAGTTTATCCCTATAATAACCTTGAGGCAAAAAAAAAAAATTAAAAAAACAAGTGTGAAGTTGTGGTGGGACAACCAATTCCCACAGAGTGGTGGAGAGTTTTTATTTTAACCACACACATTTACAGACATGCCAGTGTTGAGGACTTAATGTCTTGCAATGAAACCACATCCTAAAAAAAGAGAAGATAATGACAGTCTATAAAACCGTGGATGTTAAGGAAGGTAGGCATCTTTTCAAGGACTACAGTCCAGTTTCCAGGTCCATTTTGGTTTTCAAAAATATTTATCATTTGTTGCACTAAAACTACCGTTTTTTTAATAGAAAGTGCAACATTAATTAGATTTAGTAAATTAAGAGCAGCAAAAAAAACCCACAGAGTTTAACTTCTGTATAGAAATAGTTAGTAGCACTAATATTCAATTAAAAAACTGCAAGCTCTCATCTTGATCACTTGACTGTGTTAATTTGGTTGTTACGTACTATGTATAAGGATTAATAATTACTAGGCACTTATTTGTATGAGTGAGTTCACTTTATTGTGCTTAACTATCTTCCAGATTTACATAATTACAACAATTTAAATTCATTCAGTGGAACACTTGGAACTGATTTATGTGTATATTCAACCACTGGGTAATTGTCAGTAGCTGCATGTTGTTACATTTTCTGTAGGGTGCCACTCAGATGCATAAACTAGGTGGTGACAGCTGTGTATACTGATTTATTCATCAAGTGTGCACTACAATTAACCTACCATATCCAGACTAACAATTGCAGCAACCGGGCACCCCCCGCCCCACCCATTCTCCCAAAATGCACACACACACACACACACACACACACACACACACACACACACACACACACACCATTCTTCCTTTCCTTTTCTTTCTTTTTTCCACTAACTCAAGCTCTCATACACACACACACGCACACACACACGCACACAGGAGGCCTAAGGCTCCCTACTGTACTGCAAACAGTGTTTTATGAGAAAATGGAAACTCCATCAGACATTATCATATGATTAAGAATGGGAATTAAGATTCAAGGAGAAGTCAAGCTAATTTGAAGTGGGTTTTGATTGTACTAATTATATAATCTTCTCAACTCCCACATTTATATTTTTGCCCATTAAGAAAAATGTCTTGAGAGTGTGTTGTGGTGTTATATATCTGGATGTATCTAGCTGACACTGGCTTAAGAAAGAAAATGATAGTACTACATTTGCAATTTTGTCACAAGCATGTAGTTCTCATTTGCTGAGGTGTGTCTCTTTCACTTCGTTATCAGATAGTGAGTACCTAGAGACAAAACTAGCATCTTTGGTGCCATTTTTATGTCACTCACTGGCATACAAAAGTGTTTTTTCAGGTAGTGGATGTATTTTAAGTTAACAAAACCCTTCAGCACATAGCTACTAAACTACTTTCTGGTTCCTACTGGGAGATGTGTCTTTGTCTTGTCTGCTAAAGGCTAACAAGGGTGCATTAAGTGTTTTGTCTATGGATTCTTGGAAATCAACACCACTCTCTTATAGAAAAATCAGCACATTGGCAGGATTTTTAGCAGCAGCTGCAGTCCTCTGTCAATATCCAGAAGGGAGCACCGAATACTACACACTGCTATGTGTTTAGCAGCATATTGGCACAACACAAATTCCCTGTAGTTACACATAAGCCTGAATTTTAGGTTTCAGTTACATGTGTGAAAACCCAGGCCGTTATGAATATTCTGGTTAAACTAAAACTTTACCTCATCTCTTTCATGTGGTAAATAAAGCAAAGAAAAATGCCTGTGGAAAAAAAGACACATACAGTCGGAGCAGTCTAAGAACCTGTTGTTTCACTGCCAGTTGTCGGCTTCCCCCAAACACTATAGTTATAGTGAGATAATATAATGCAAATGCAAATGCACATTTCTGCCACAGCTCTTTACACAACTTTTATTTTCTGTATCATTCTTTTGTAGATAACCACACAATGGCATCCCAAACGTCAGTGAGCATTCGGATACTTGATGTGAATGACAATCCACCTGAACTGGCCACACCATATGAAGCCTCAATATGCGAAGATGCCAAGCCAGGTCAGGTATGTTTTCTTCATAAAACACAGACTCAAATAATTTCATTTAGACTGTGATCTCAGAAATGTAATCTTTGTATTTTTGATGTAAAAAAATCCTTTAAAAAATACTATTGCTCTTTGTTGAGCAAGAAGCTAAAGAGTGCCAGTCAAGTAGATTTCACTATAACAAGTTAAAGGTGAGGACCTTTGAAAACTCTGTACCAAAACACTGTGCCACAGCACACACATATTTTATTAACATCCGAATAGAAACAAAATTGCCACAATGTAATATTATCTGTGTTTCTTTAATCTGAAACATCAATATTACTGCAAAACAGCACACAACCTACTTAAGGCACTTTTGACAGTCATTTTTGACATGAATGACCACAATACTGAATGAGAAATTAGGTCCGTTGTTACACCCAAAAATACATGAGATTTCTGTTTTTAATTTATTTTACTTTTAGAGGGGGTTGTGTTTAGTTATTAGTCCTCATTCACTCCACTAAGTAACCAAAGACAAAGTATTTTTAGGCAGAGGAAGTGTTTGGCTCAAAATCTATGAAGATTTGATTATGATACCAGCATATTTAATTCTGTGGTTTTGTTTGATTTAGACTAAATTACTTAGTTACAAATATCAGCTTGCTTCCTGGCATATTTGTAAATTAGAAGCTTTTTCTATTTCATATTTTGGTTAGTTTACATCATAAATGATGTCGGGGGACAAATGCAGCATAAAGGATCATGGATGTGAAACATCCATTTTGGATATATTGTAATGATTCACAATATTGAATATTATGTATGAAGAGTATACAGTGTCTTTGGAAGCGGCAGTTAGAATGAAATATGGTCACCAAAATGGAAACATTACACAAATATTCAAACAAATGTTTGATAAATGAACAAGGTTTTTGCATTCCTCTGATTCCATGTAATGTATCGTTTGGTAGAGACTTCTGTATTTTTTTGTTTAGTATTGTTTTTGCTTAGTATTATTCCTTTCACTTTTCTACTGATAGCCCTGTGGTGCAGTGGGCAATATGAAGAACAGGGAGTAAGTCTCTGAGGTAAAGTCTAAAGAAACTGGACTTATCAAAAGTGTGATTAAATTGTTTAAAAAAAACTGCCCTCGTGCACTTGAAAGTGGAACAGCCCTCGTGGTCTTAGCAGGAATGCATCTCAAAGTCTATGTGAGATGCATTCCTGCTCTGTGTGTGTGTGTGTGTGTGTGTGTGTGTGTGTGTGTGTGTGTGTGTGTGTGTGTGTGTGTGTGCAATAAAATGTTTTTGTACCTAGATTACAAACCAGCCTATTTATTCTATTTATTGTCTTGTAATTCCTGATTATTTCCATATTTTTGCACAGCTCCACTCTATGATCTGTTTGACACTTAACACCAAAGGCAACTTTAGACTCAGCTCTAGGGCAAAGGCACAAATTCCCCCACGAGTCCTGTGTCAGAAAGTTAATTGCTTTCCAAAGTATTTATTTATTCATTTGCTATAAATTAAAACATTATTATAAAATAATTACAGATTTTGATACTGGATATCTATCCCAGAAATGTATTTGATTGGATTGATTCAGTCATATTGTTCTGCCTGTCAAGAAGTCTTTTCTTTAAAATGTCACTTAACAGGCTCTTCATGAGAGAGACGTCTTTCCTTCATGACCTTGATAGAATTTTAATTCTACCTTTAATGTTTGCCCCTAATTCTGATATGCTTCACTTATGCCTTTTTCAGGTGTTTCTTTTTTTCTTTTTTAATTAAGACGTGATCTGTCTGTTGAAAGTTGTTTCATTGTGGGAAAGAAAGTGGTTTCTGATATTTGATTTAATAGCATCTTATAATCCAATCAGGGCTAAAACGGCAAATAGTGCACCGTTTAAATAAAATTTAATTCAAAGAATTTCAGTCAGTTCAACCATTCATTCATTAATTAATTTTCTAAATGGAAAACATATAAGCCCTGCGATAAAACATTAATACCCAACAATCAAACAGTGGGAGTCTGTGCGAAAATCAAGACAAAGGCACTGATGTGGCTATTTCCAATCCAATAGAAGGCCAGGTCTTTCCACTGATCACCATTAAAAATGGACAAAGTCATTAGGGTGTTATATTCACCTTACATAGCCAACAGGCCCTGAGCTGAGTTAGAGCCAATTATCGTGTGCAGAGCAAAGGAATAATTAAAACAGCAAGGCTTTAAAGTGGGGCCTCCATGCTGGAAGCTGCATTTACATGTGTAATGAGGCTCAGGCCTCTCCTCCCCTTGATCCACAGACTCTTAACCACTTATAGCCCCCCTGTGCCTCTGCAGTACCACCAGTCTGTGCCTTTCTAGAACGTTGTCTGGTCTGATCTCCCTCACTCCCACCTCACTCTGTCTCCCATCTGTGAGAGCCCACATTAACCTTCAGCTCCTAATCACATAGAGATGATTAGTCTTCCAGCTAAAAAGATCATTGCTGGCTCCCAGCATTGTAAAAGAAAAGGTTTTTTAATGTTCTCATTAGAGAGAAAGGCAGTGAAATATTTCACATTGTAATTACAAACTAAAAGTGCATGCACAAGACTGTGCTGTCTATCCATCCATCTCTTATTTCATTTTATTTATTTATTTTTACTATCATCCTGTGAGGTTGGCAAATGGCAGGAACATCTGTTCCTTTTCTTCCGTTTTCATTTTTTGTATTTTCTCTACAGAGTCTCTTTAAATTTTGTTATGGGAAGTTGAGTAGGCTGTAAGGATTGAAATTAATTGTTTAAAGCATTTTCAGCCTCACATTCATGCTCAAGGGTAACCAATGGGAGACATGCAGGAAACAATTTGACCTTTTGTAATTTCCATGGATAATATAAAAATGGTTTCCTGTAGACACTGTGAGTCCCTACATATTAAAACATAGAGCAAGTGGTCTAAAAACCAATTTTGTTTTTGGATGTTTTATGATACGAGTTCAAATTTAAAGTATTTTTTCACAGATGAGTGCTTTTAATTTGTTTATTTGTTATTGTTTTTTATTATTAAGTTGGGTGCAGACATTTCACATTTTAGATCAGAAGTGTCAAGGAGACACAGACAGTTGGTCCACAACCAACCTGTTAACGTGTCCAGTTCAGCTGCTGGATGGCTTTGCAAAGTGTCATTAAATTACTTATGTTACGTGTGGAGTTGTAGATTAGGACCGAAGATGCAGCTTGTGATGAGAGTGAACTTTATTTAGTAAGGAGGATGATAAACAAGCAGAAACGGCGAGGCGAGAAACTGGAACAACTAACAAAACAAACCTAAAACCAAACCCAGAGATGTAGGGAGACACGGAGAGACAACGGAGGGAGATACGCAGGAAGATGGAGGGGAACAACACAGACGAACCAGCAACTACTAAGACAGAAGACACGACTTAAATACACTCAGAGAAACACAGGGAGATTACACACAGGTGGGGGACACAGCTGGGAGTGATTAACATGACGAGAGCAGGGAGGCAAACTGAAAACACTCACATAAGACGCAGACCTTCACAATAAAACATACAAGTAATGACACAACACACAAACTTAACACAGGCTCAGAGACGCGGACTAAACACAGAGACCTACTACACTAAGGGGATACACAAGCAGGGAAGACACCAAACAGAGGGAACACAACTAAACCCTAGAACCCCAAAGCGACAGTTGCTGTAACTTTTTTTGACAAAAAAATAAATAAATAAATAAACAAAATCCAAATTGTAGGGTTCTATTGAAGCAAAGTGTTGTTGCCTAATGTGCTTGAAATACTTTGATGTCTGCTGCTTCCCAAGATGCACTTATTTATTCAGCAAAATAAGCTGCCAAAAGAGGAGCCTAGAGGTATAAGCATGACTTGACAGATGTGTAAAATGCAATTCGATTTTGTTCCAGCTCCCGAGAATGTTGTTAATCAATTTAGAAACTTGGACAGGCCAGCAGCTTTCAGAAAGAGAAGTAATTAAACATTTATTACTTTCTCATGGAAAACAGAGATGTCAAACACAGTCGTGGTGTCATCTTTTGCCTAATGTATAAACGTCTAGATTCAGATAATGTGCACTTCATCCACTTCATCTGGAGTCTTTTAGTGGTAATCTGAGGTTAGATCAGGTTACTGTTGTTTTGTTCAGTGTCTACACTGTTTGTTTGTGTTTTTTAAAGCATCACTTCACAGGGAGAATTCATTAGAGCCCACATAACACCTGTTGTCGTGAAACTAAATCGACATCAAATAGTTTGGCTCAAGATTTGAAACTTTTCACAGAGGAGTTTTCTATCAGTTTCAAGTTGTCTTTTCAAATCAGCTAAACCCACATGCGTGGCAAACTTTATATCGAGTGATTGATAGCAGGTCTTGAGTATTCATAATTAAAGTAATTTATTTAATACCTAAATCATTTAGGCATACACCTTGCCATCAATCAATCCTATTATCAATGAAATGTACAGTATTTGCTCTGTTTACCTTGAATTATACCACTATGGTTGCCTGTCCCTGCACAGACACATGCTAAGAAAAATAGAGGCATGCATACACACACCCACACACATGCTGTACACAGGCTGCACTGTCACACTCTTAATGTGTCAGATCAACCCCCGGTTTACTGCGCTAATGAAGAGCGTTTCATTGTCTCCTGTTGTGTGCTCTGTTATCACCCAGTCTCGTTCACAGAGTGTCAGCTCCTTGGCTCAGGTCTAGCTTTTGGTGGAACCACAGAGAAAATCAGATTTACCTAAGCCTTTTAACTGCGGTTGGGTTTGATCCTATTTAAGAGTTGGCAATACAACATATTTGTGTGTGTGTGTGTGTGTGTGTGTGTGTGTGTGTGTGTGTGTGTGTGTGTGTGTGTGGAGTGCGGTGCGGTGTGCTTGAAGGGAATAAAAAATGGGTGAAAGTGGCAAAGCAGCTTTTGCTTGGAGACAGTTCACACCAGGGCCGTGACACAAAAATTGTTAAATAGCTTCTCACCTTTCATTTACAGA